ATAAGCCCCCATGCACTCTGAGGCACCCGTGCAAACCAATGGTGGAGGCTTGTATTCACGCATGCCACTTCTACGCAACGCATTCCAACGCGCCCAAAAGGGAACCCCACGTTCACTAGACCCAAGGGAGCTCATAAATAGACGCGCATCTTCAAGTAATCACGGGCGCCGGAGTGGCATGCAATCGACTGAGCCCCCATGCACTCTGACGCAACTGTAAAAACCAAGGGTGGAGACTTGTACTCACGCATTGCACTTGTACGTAACGCATGCCAACGCGCCCAAAACGGAATCCCAGGTTTACTAGACACAAGGGACGTCAGGAATAGACTCGCAACTCCTTGAAACCACGGGCGCCGGAGTCGCATGCGTGCGACAGAGCCCCCATGCAGTCTGAGGCATCTGTGAAACCCAAGAGTTGAGGATTGTACTCACGCATGCCACTTCTACATAACGCATGCCAACGCGCCCAAAACGGAATCCCAGGTTCACTAGACACAAGGAACGTCAGGAATAGACGCGCAACTCCGGAAAATCACGGGATACGGAGTGGCATTCGTTCGACTGAGCCCCCATGCACTCTTAGGCACCTGTGCAAAGCACGGGTGGACGCTTGTACTCACACATGCCACTTCTACGTAACGCATACCAACGCGCCCAAAACGCAATCCCAGGTTCACTATATCCAAGGGACGTCGGGAATAGACGCGCAACTCCGGAAAATCACGGTATACGGAGTGGCATTCGTTCGACTGAGCCCCCATGCACTCTGAGGCACCTGTACAAACCAAGAGTGGAGGATTGTACTCACGCATGTCACTTCTACGTAACCCATGCCAACGCGCCCAAAAGTAAATCCCAGGTTTACTAGACCCAAGAGACCTCGGCAATAGACGCGGAACTCCGTTAAATCACGGGCGTCGGAGTGGCATTCGTTTGACTGAGCCCCTATGCACTCTGAGGCACCTGTGCAAACCAAGGATGGAGGCTTGTACTCACGCATGCCACTTCTACTTAACGCATGCCAACGCGCCCAAAACGGAATCCCAGGTTCACTAGACCCAAGGGACCTCGGGAATAGACGCACAACTCCGAGATATTACGGGCGCCGGAGTGGCATGCGTTCGACTGAGCCCCCATGCACTCTGAGGCACCTGTACAAACAAAGGGTGGAGGCTTGTACTCACGCATGCCACTTCTACGTAACGCATGCTAACGCGCCTAAAACAAAATCCCAGGTTCACTAGACCCAAATAACCTCGGGAATAGACGTGCAACTCCGGGAAATCACAAGCGACGGAGTGGCACGCGTGCGACTAAGCCCACATGCACTCTGAGGCACTTGTGGAATCCAAGAGTGGAGGCTTGTACTCACGCATGCAATTTCTATGTAACGCATGCCAACGCGCCCACAACGAAATCCCTGGTTCACTAGACCCAAGGGACCTCGGGAATTGACGCGGAATTCCGGGAAATTACGGGCGAGTTAGTGGCATGCGTGCGACTGAGCCCCCATGCACTCTGAGGCACCTGTGCAAACCAAGGGTGGAGGCTTCTACTCACGCATGCCACTTCTACGTAACGCATGCCAACGAGCTCCAAACAGAATCCCAGGTTTACTAGAGCCAAGGGACCTCGGAAATAGACGCGCAACTCCGGGAAATCACGGGCTCCAGAGTGGCATGCGTTCGACTGAGCCACCATACACTCAGAGGCACCTGTGCAAACCAACGGTGGAGGCTTGTACTCACGCATGCGACTTCTACTTAACGCATGCGAACGCGCCCAAAACGGAATCCCAGGTTCACTAGACCCAAGGGAACTCGGGAATAAACGTGCAACTCCGGGAAATCACGGGCGACGGATTAGCATGCGTGCGAGTGAGCCCCCATGCACTCTGAGGCACCTGTGCAAACCAAGGATGGATGCTTATACTCACGCATGCCACTTCTACTTAACGCATGCCAACACACCCAAAACGGAATCCCAGGTTCACTAGACCCAAGACACCTCGGGAATAGACGCGCAACTCCGAGAAATCACGGGCGCCGGAGTGGCATGCGTTCGACTGAGCCCCCATGCACTCTGAGGCACCTGTGCAAACTAAGGGTGGAGGCTTGTACTCACGCATGCCACTTCTACGTAACGAATACCAACGCGCCCTAAACGGAATCCCAGGTTTACTAGACCCAAGGGAACTCGGGAATAGACATGCGAATCTTGAAGACAAGACCTCTGTGTTTGGGAATTTGTCTTGCCACGAAATTCCCAGGATGCGGTGGAGGCTTCTCATGTGGAAGATGTTGAGGCGTCTTCCTTGTCTGACATATGTCGTCCATGTCTCGCTACCGTATAGCAGCGTACTGACGACGCAGGCATAGTACACCCTTTACACCAAACGATTTTTAAGAGGATGGACAAACATATCAATATCATTTTGTTTCAATTTCGTGAGGTTTTGATGGTTTTTGTAGCCTTAGAAATAGAAGTGTCAAAACACCCCTTTTTTCGACCGTTTTTCGGTCTTCAGCGCAGACCTATTGACGATTTCAGTAGATTGGAATACGTACAGTTGTTGTTCTTGTCAAGACCTTTCTAACGGTGTGTCAAATGTTGTGATGGAATAGAATGGTGCGTAAAAAACTTTAAAACCCTTCTAACCGTGACCCTAACCTTGCAGACAGACCTGTACGTTACAAGACAAAAGGCGTCTAAAATAAAAAAAATATTAAACGTAATAACGTTACAGTTGGTCCACATGATGGAGAGTATGCCATAAACATCCTCTGAAAATTTTACATCTCATCTCTGAAGAAACAAGCTTTAAGCAGGTTTCACTTCAAGTCCTAATTTCAAGGTTGAGTTACAAGTTAATGTCTTGTGTAGGTATTATACCTATACTAGACATTTTTGCTTCGTTGAAAAATGCATGCTTTGAAACGATATGCTGCCCCATTAAAGAGAATGCACTTCACAAGCTACATGCCAAATTTGGGCACCATTGAGATAATTTTAGGGTGATTCCCATAGACGTGAATATGCTATTATGTTGACGCCCATCCACTAATATTGAAATTCAATACCAATGATTATCGAAAATTATAACTGTAGTACTTCGCTCACATCCGTATATCACAATTCTCTCCTCTCTACTTTCCAGTCTGCTCTACCTGTATTTGATTATTTTGTCTTGTTTTAACTCATTAGTAATTTTATTGTATTTAATTTGTATGACAACTCTACGTATCTTTTAGCTTATAATGTACCAAACTAATGCATATCTTATAACCCCAATAATATTTATATGAGCACGATCCTTCGCAGTAAAGCACTATTTGAGCAATAGTGAAAATCAGACCTGAAAAAAATTTCAGGCCTGTACGGGATTCGAACCACTGACCTCTGCGATACTAGTGCAGCGCTCTACCAATTGAGCTAACAAGCCAACTGGGAGCAGGCCATCAAATTAATTCGACATAAACCCGTAGATGATAAATCAAACAACAACAAACATATGAAACATATGTGTGAACTGCGGTTATGAGACGTATATGAGCACGATCCTTCGCAGTAAAGCACTATTTGAGCAATAGTGAAAATCAGACCTGAAAAAAATTTCAGGCCTGTACGGGATTCGAACCACTGACCTCTGCGATACTAGTGCAGCGCTCTACCAATTGAGCTAACAAGCCAACTGGGAGCAGGCCATCAAATNCGCAGTTCACACATATGTTTCATATGTTTGTTGTTGTTTGATTTATCATCTACGGGTTTATGTCGAATTAATTTGATGGCCTGCTCCCAGTTGGCTTGTTAGCTCAATTGGTAGAGCGCTGCACTAGTATCGCAGAGGTCAGTGGTTCGAATCCCGTACAGGCCTGAAATTTTTTTCAGGTCTGATTTTCACTATTGCTCAAATAGTGCTTTACTGCGAAGGATCGTGCTCATATACGTCTCATAACCGCAGTTCACACATATGTTTCATATGTTTGTTGTTGTTTGATTTATCATCTACGGGTTTATGTCGAATTAATTTGATGGCCTGCTCCCAGTTGGCTTGTTAGCTCAATTGGTAGAGCGCTGCACTAGTATCGCAGAGGTCAGTGGTTCGAATCCCGTACAGGCCTGAAATTTTTTTCAGGTCTGATTTTCACTATTGCTCAAATAGTGCTTTACTGCGAAGGATCGTGCTCATATACGTCTCATAACCGCAGTTCACACATATGTTTCATATGTTTGTTGTTGCCCAATAATATTGTAGCAATGAATTCTCTTTAGTGTATTGTAAAATCTCTTTAGTTTTTTGTGATAATGAAACTCCCTTAGCTTGCAATGTGTACTATTTACTTATTTATTTATTACTAATACCCGCCAAGACTAGCTAATGCTATATGCGGGTTGTGTAAATTTGCTTGTAATGTTCTATAAAATAATAATAAACAGACTAACAAACAATCCGAAGTACATTTACTTGGGCACAAAATCTAAATTCCTCTCGAAGCAGCATAGATATACATTATAACACTATAAAGATAGAGGCTTCACCGAGACTGGAAACAGGAAATTGGCTTTTTGTGTTTCTTCTTTTCCGGTTTTTTTCTTTTGGTTTTCTGAGCAACAATTGGCAAAATCGTACCGTGCTTTTTATCTACTTTTTTCTGTTTTGTTTTCAATAATTAAGATAAGATTAAATACATCACAGCGGGTGGATCTTTCTGCAAAATGATTCACCGAAATCTCAGTTCTGGATAAATCAGGCTGACACTGGGTTTTATCATACGTGAGTGATCAAGCTGTATTTTTCTGTGACACTTACATAATTATATCTATGCTAGATGCGTGTCCGCTGAATACCTCTAATACTTCACGTGGGCGCTAATTTTGCAAGCGGATTGGGTATTTTATTACAAGTATTCTAATTAGTCAATTCTCTCGACTAGAAACCAATGAAATATCGTTTTAGAAGCTACCTATTCCCATTCTTTTCTATGCGGAAACCACCCACTCAAAGTTGAAGTGTTTTACATGGGCAGAATGAGTGCTGCTAAACTTGTTTGGGTTCGTTTTCTTGGACAGATCGAGGCAGTATTACCTCGTAGACTTGTTCCGTTTTGGAAAGCTCCTGCTGGTGAGTATTTTCTCTTGATTTTGCGCTATTTTACATAGTGTTTGATTTCGGCGACGTAAACATGCATGTCTGCACTTTAGCACTTCGTTGACGGATTTGGAAATGGCGTCGATTTTACCGGCATAATTTTTAAACAGAATAGAATCCCTGTTTATTTAACTTGGTTGCATTGGTTGGCCTCAAAAATTCAAGTTTTCATTTGTTTTTGAATGTCCATTACTTCATTTACAAACATGGAATGGATAACATGTTAGCCTTTGCCGACTGCAACATAACCGGCACATGACACGCCAGAGCATGGTAGGATTCTATCCTTCGTACGAAGGGTACGTTAATTTTGTCATTTAAGGCCAAAAGAATTCCATGATAAGCCAAATGCTAAGGATTCTAAAATTTTACGCCAATTGAGTGGCTGAAAGCGAGACTCGGGAAGGCAGACAATTGGAACTGCATTCATATCTTCCGGAGTGTTTTTTATGGAACATCCTTGCACGAAGGTGTCGCATGCACTACGTACCTTTTTGAAATACATGTCAGTCCAAACTGATACGTGTGTTAAGTGAGGTGGTATGAATGCCAGGGTACTGAAAACCAAAGGTCTTTTCATGTTATTTCAATTTATAGTCTTTCTCTAAATTGTTTCATGACCCTTACAAATTTTGTTTGAAGTATTTTACAGTTCTTTCCCGATTTTTGTGGTAAGATATGTGTTACACCTAAATTGTTCTAGACAGCCATTTGCAACAGTCACATCCCTTCAGAAAGTTTTAATAACTCTGGCATTACATACAATTTCTAGTTAATACTTTATTTTTTGAGATACGATGAAATATATGAAGTTCATATATTTTGTACTGGGGTATTAGATACTGCGATATTATGATGCACGACCCTCGCAGTAGATAGGGCGATTGAAGCAATAGCGAAAATCAGACCTGAAAAAAATCAGGCCTGTACGGGATTCGAACCACTGACCTCTGCGATACTAGTGCAGCGCTCTACCAATTGAGCTAACAAGCCAACTGGGAGCAGGCCATCAAATTAATTCGACATAAACCCGTAGATGATAAATCAAACAACAACAAACATATGAAACATATGTGTGAACTGCGGTTATGAGACGTATATGAGCACGATCCTTCGCAGTAAAGCACTATTTGAGCAATAGTGAAAATCAGACCTGAAAAAAATTTCAGGCCTGTACGGGATTCGAACCACTGACCTCTGTGATACTAGTGCAGCGCTCTACCAATTGAGCTAACAAGCCAACTGGGAGCAGGCCATCAAATTAATTCGACATAAACCCGTAGATGATAAATCAAACAACAACAAACATATGAAACATATGTGTGAACTGCGGTTATGAGACGTATATGAGCACGATCCTTCGCAGTAAAGCACTATTTGAGCAATAGTGAAAATCAGACCTGAAAAAAATTTCAGGCCTGTACGGGATTCGAACCACTGACCTCTGCGATACTAGTGCAGCGCTCTACCAATTGTTCGCAGTTCACACATATGTTTCATATGTTTGTTGTTGTTTGATTTATCATCTACGGGTTTATGTCGAATTAATTTGATGGCCTGCTCCCAGTTGGCTTGTTAGCTCAATTGGTAGAGCGCTGCACTAGTATCGCAGAGGTCAGTGGTTCGAATCCCGTACAGGCCTGAAATTTTTTTCAGGTCTGATTTTCACTATTGCTCAAATAGTGCTTTACTGCGAAGGATCGTGCTCATATACGTCTCATAACCGCAGTTCACACATATGTTTCATATGTTTGTTGTTGTTTGATTTATCATCTACGGGTTTATGTCGAATTAATTTGATGGCCTGCTCCCAGTTGGCTTGTTAGCTCAATTGGTAGAGCGCTGCACTAGTATCGCAGAGGTCAGTGGTTCGAATCCCGTACAGGCCTGAAATTTTTTTCAGGTCTGATTTTCACTATTGCTCAAATAGTGCTTTACTGCGAAGGATCGTGCTCATATACGTCTCATAACCGCAGTTCACACATATGTTTCATATGTTTGTTGTTGTTTGATTTATCATCTACGGGTTTATGTCGAATTAATTTGATGGCCTGCTCCCAGTTGGCTTGTTAGCTCAATTGGTAGAGCGCTGCACTAGTATCGCAGAGGTCAGTGGTTCGAATCCCGTACAGGCCTGAAATTTTTTTCAGGTCTGATTTTCACTATTGCTCAAATAGTGCTTTACTGCGAAGGATCGTGCTCATATACGTCTCATAACCGCAGTTCACACATATGTTTCATATGTTTGTTGTTGTTTGATTTATCATCTACGGGTTTATGTCGAATTAATTTGATGGCCTGCTCCCAGTTGGCTTGTTAGCTCAATTGGTAGAGCGCTGCACTAGTATCGCAGAGGTCAGTGGTTCGAATCCCGTACAGGCCTGAAATTTTTTTCAGGTCTGATTTTCACTATTGCTCAAATAGTGCTTTACTGCGAAGGATCGTGCTCATATACGTCTCATAACCGCAGTTCACACATATGTTTCATATGTTTGTTGTTGTTTGATTTATCATCTACGGGTTTATGTCGAATTAATTTGATGGCCTGCTCCCAGTTGGCTTGTTAGCTCAATTGGTAGAGCGCTGCACTAGTATCGCAGAGGTCAGTGGTTCGAATCCCGTACAGGCCTGAAATTTTTTTCAGGTCTGATTTTCACTATTGCTCAAATAGTGCTTTACTGCGAAGGATCGTGCTCATATACGTCTCATAACCGCAGTTCACACATATGTTTCATATGTTTGTTGTTGTTTGATTTATCATCTACGGGTTTATGTCGAATTAATTTGATGGCCTGCTCCCAGTTGGCTTGTTAGCTCAATTGGTAGAGCGCTGCACTAGTATCGCAGAGGTCAGTGGTTCGAATCCCGTACAGGCCTGAAATTTTTTTCAGGTCTGATTTTCACTATTGCTCAAATAGTGCTTTACTGCGAAGGATCGTGCTCATATACGTCTCATAACCGCAGTTCACACATATGTTTCATATGTTTGTTGTTGTTTGATTTATCATCTACGGGTTTATGTCGAATTAATTTGATGGCCTGCTCCCAGTTGGCTTGTTAGCTCAATTGGTAGAGCGCTGCACTAGTATCGCAGAGGTCAGTGGTTCGAATCCCGTACAGGCCTGAAATTTTTTTCAGGTCTGATTTTCACTATTGCTCAAATAGTGCTTTACTGCGAAGGATCGTGCTCATATACGTCTCATAACCGCAGTTCACACATATGTTTCATATGTTTGTTGTTGTTTGATTTATCATCTACGGGTTTATGTCGAATTAATTTGATGGCCTGCTCCCAGTTGGCTTGTTAGCTCAATTGGTAGAGCGCTGCACTAGTATCGCAGAGGTCAGTGGTTCGAATCCCGTACAGGCCTGAAATTTTTTTCAGGTCTGATTTTCACTATTGCTCAAATAGTGCTTTACTGCGAAGGATCGTGCTCATATACGTCTCATAACCGCAGTTCACACATATGTTTCATATGTTTGTTGTTGTTTGATTTATCATCTACGGGTTTATGTCGAATTAATTTGATGGCCTGCTCCCAGTTGGCTTGTTAGCTCAATTGGTAGAGCGCTGCACTAGTATCGCAGAGGTCAGTGGTTCAAATCCCGTACAGGCCTGATTTTTTTCAGGTCTGATTTTAGCTGTTGCTTAAATAGCGTTATCTACTGCAGGATCGTGCATCATATGTACTTTATTTTTTTTTTTAGGAGGCTTGTGATTGCTTCTGTAATTTGTATATTTATTTATTTACTTTTTTTAAGGGCCCCAAACTATCTTTTTCTGGGCACCAGCCTTCAAATGGGTAAGAACCTTAAAAAATGCCCATAATGTTATATACAAATTTTCACAGTGGTAGTTTGACAACTTGTGATGTAAGTATTAACGCCATATTTGTGATCAGTGGTGTCTTTCTCATGATCTGATAAGACTGGTTCACTCAGAGTTCAAAAGCATGTTGAACCCCCAAGGGTGATAAGCATCGCATTTCTTCCAAATGTATCGCCTTAAATATTAAAACACTTTCCCTCCCAAAATCTCATTAGTGATACCCCTCATTGTCTGCCATACAATTCTTGTAATGTTAGTTTGGAGAATTTGGTATTGGATCACCTGATAATCCCCTGATTTTCTTTTTTCCTTATTCTCATTACTTGTCTGCCTGATATTTTATTGATATAGTGAGGAGAAATTTTGTTGTGGTCACTTATGAGAGTTAAAGGGTTTTTAAGGTCACAAGAAAAAGGGAAATAATGACCAACCAAAGAAACTCTCTATTGTTTAGCAAATTCTTCTTGTTGGAAGTGTAGGGAATACGTGACCTCTCGCGCGAAAACGTTCGGAACGGTTTGCTGTTTACGCACGGATGCTGTGTGTATGCCGTGCACTAGCCGTGCGAACGGATTGGCATCCGTTCGAACGGCTCAGGCTATCCATGCCAAAAAAAATTGCATCCATTCAAACGACTCGGGCTATCCGTGCGAAAAAAGTTTGCATCCGTTCAAACAGGTCGGGCTATCCACGCGAAAAATTTGCTTCTGTTCGAACAGCTCGGGCTATCCGTGCGAAAAAAATTTGCTTCCATTCAAATGGTCGCATTATCCGTTCAAAAAAGTCTTGATTAATTCACTCTAGCCGTTCGCAACTTGATCGCTCGAGCAGGAGTCACTTTTTGTAAACTTTTTTGTAAATTATGTAAACTAAGTATGACAAAATTAAAAATTCAGTGAAATCTTGAAAAATGTTGTTTACTTTGACACAGACAGCAGGAGACACTCTTTGCATTCTTGCATGCGTAATGATCCGTGAATTCACACGCAAGGCAAAATAATACAAAATTTCTACCAGCTCAGTTTCCCTGAATTTGATGGAAATGTCTTCTAAGAAATATAACCTACTCTCAGATTTTCAATCTGACCAAATACAGAGAAGTTCTCGTTGCATATTCATTGCTTATTACCCGTACAGGGATGTCGATGTGATTTTGACACTAGTTGCTGGAACGACCTGAGGGTGCACTTGTTGTCTTGACTGTAAACGTGGAATTAGGAGTTACATCTCGAGCGTGGATTAGTATATAATTTTGACATTTTATGTATCTTAATATGGCGTCTTTTCCTTTTGGGCTTATTGTTGTTTTGTGGTTAGATGTTCTGAGATACTAGCGCATAGACGGCTGTCGTTTCTCCGCAGCAAAGGCAATAAAAAAATTCTTGAAACTATGAATTACAATGCAGATCAGGATTTTTGAATCAATCAGTTGTCCTTTATTAGAAAATGATCAAGCTGTTTGTTCTTATAAAGCTGCAAAGTTGCTTGTTCCAGAATAAAAGAGTATTACGGTTACGATTATTATCTTCGGTCGTCTGGCCGATCGACCACAGCGGTTCAAAATTAATTATTAAATTTTTATTCATTCGTCCATTCGTTCAACCACATCCGTTCAAAAATTTTTGAGTTCATCCGCTCGACTGCATCCGTGCAATTATATTTTGTCAGCCGTGTATCCGTTTGACTACACCCGTTCAAAAATTTTTGTCAGCCGTGTGTCCGTTTCACTTTATCCGTGCAAGAATTTTCTTCATCTGTGTATCCATGTGATTTCATCGGTGCGAATAGTTTTTTCAACCGTGTTTCCGTTTGACTTCATCCATGCCAATATTTTCTTCATCCATGCATCTGTTTGGCGGTTCCGTTTCAAACGGCTTGGCTATCCGTTTCTCATCCGTTCCCTTGCCGTGCGTTCACTGGCTGTGCGTTCATTCCTAAGGAACTTTTTCGCGCGAGAGGTCACATATATACATGTACTGTGAGGAAAATGAGTGACATGATTGCTGCACCTATTGAAGATTTTGTACTGTTTTTGTTGAAGGGTCTTGTATTTGCTGGTATTGCTGATCTTGCAAGACCAGCTGATAAACTCAGTCCATCACAGTCAACAGCCTTGGCAGCTACTGGTGAGTTCATGTGTTCCATTCTCATTTAACCCAGTTTGGTTAGCTGAAGTTGTTCAGTGCCGGACTGCCGTGTGGGAGGTAGAGCACTCAATTCCCAGAGCAGACAACACTTAGGGTCATAACAGAGCAGAGTGTGCTTCCTGAATAACACTGTTCTGAATAATCACCCTGTTTTGAATAAATGCCCTCCCTTGAGTTACCTAAGTAAATAAGCTTCATGGTCACTAAATGGGATCAGTGCTAACAGTAACCGTTTAACTACCCTAAGTGATTAACAAGTAACTTCTCCCAAATCTCCCTATGAAATACATAATATATTATCCATAAACCAGGTAATGAGAATGCTCAAACTTGTCCAGTAGAAGTTTTTATCTTTATCTAACACCAAATTCTCATTACTAATTCACGAGGAAATAAGTGTATGCTACTGTAAGAGGAGAAAATTAATATGAAGATCTTAGGAGTTAACTAAAGGTTCCAGAGAGCGGGTACAGTCGAACCTCGATTATCCGGACTTTTTTCTCTGGTCCCAATTTTTTCATGAATACTAATTAGTTGTGATGGTGAAAACTCAAAATCGCAAAATGCCCAAAAATCATATCAAAAGACTGTTGAAACAGCGTATTATCCTGTGCACTTTTCAAAATTCGGACAACAGCAAGTCAAATTCACAGCCCGAATTCAGAGAGGATAATATCGCTGAGTCCATGGTCCAAATGTTGGAACATGTGCAGCAACTTGACAATGAGGAAATGCCTAATAATCGCGATGTGGAAGACTGGCTTAATCTGGAAAATGAGCTCTCGAATTCACCACAAATGTCTGATGAAAAGACATTAGCCACCTTTGTCAGAGATTAGACTGAAAACGAAAGTCTATGTAGTGATGAGGAAGATGAGGGCGAGGACGAGAAACTAGTATCGATTAAAGAGGCAGTGCAATGTTTCCAAAAATACTCATCGTGGATGGAATCACAGAACAATATTGACCCTGTGCAGTTAATGCAGCTAAGATGAACAATGGACTTTGCAATGTGATCAAACCATAAGTCTTTGAAGCAAACAAACATGCTTGAAAAGTTTAGACCTTTGTAAATACCTGAACTGAATGTTTTTATTTGTAAATACATAAAGGCTGTGTAGATCTAACAAATAAAAAGATTTCTTCACACTGTGTACTTTTGTTTACATTTCTATGTCATAAATATTCATATTTTCAATTATCCGGACTCTTGATTATTCGGACTATTTACCGAGGTCCCGACGAGTCTAGATAATCGAGGTTCGACTGTACTTGGTCTCCTTTGGTTCAAGTGCATTTTGTCAGTTATAGCATGTTTAGTGGAATACAGCTGTCCAAATAGAGTGTTGTTCACCAGTCAGAGAAGTTTATAAGTCTTCTTGAACTTTACAAGCTAGGTGCAAACATTACAGGGTTTGTGCAGGTCCTGAAAAAGTCTGGAAAGTCCTGGAATTTTAATTTGACATTTTTGACGACTGGAAAGTCCGGGAAATGTATGTAGATTGTAAGGAGAAATGAATTTGAAATCTCGGGAAATCTTGGGTTTAAGGTGAAATTTGGAGTCCTGGAAAAAATCAGTCTGAGTCCTGGAAAAGTCCTTGAGATTATGTCTGGGAGTGTAGGCACAAACATTAAAAAAAAATTAATAGGTTTTTAGTTTTTCAGTAAGTCAGTTGTTCAGTCATCTTGCTTGATCACAGTTACTTGGGCATCAAACTGTAGTTCTAATTTCTGTAGAGCAGGGAGATAATCAGGCAACTGTACAGCTCTGTTTTGTAGTACTTTATTTTAAATTGTCTGTAAATTTTTTCTAATGCTACTAATGTTATTGTTATTATTACATTACTGTAGGATTGATATGGGCACGGTATTCATTGGTAATCATCCCCAAAAACTGGTTGCTCTTTAGTGTCAACATTGGTCTTGGAATTACGGGAATAAATCAACTCTGCAGAATAGCATAGTATGTGTAGCATTATTGTGCATTTCCATCAGTCTTTTCTGTTTTCTTATGGTGTGAAAACACAGATGTGACATTTTTGACTTAAGGTGCATTTTGAGAAGTAGTCCAAAAGCAAGAGAAGACTCAAGTTTTCACAGCTTCACCTGAAAAATTGGCCAGCTGGGACAACTGTTTCAAGTTTTTTTTCAAACCTTTGCCACATAAAGTGCTTTAATTTTTCCCAAACCTGAGGGCCAGTTATTTAAACAAAGTTAAGCTGTGGATTAACAAAACCATGTTCTAAGCCATCTTCAATGTAGCCAAACCTAAACATTAGGTTTAGGACGTGACTTGTATTGAATTATGTCAACCCTATTTTAGAGAATCCCTAAGGCCCACTGTTTGTATAAAACAGTGGTTTGGGTTAGATCTTGGGGAAATAGCTGGCCATGAGTATTTATGTTACACTGAATGAATTTTGCATTACTAGAGCCCTGTTTAGTAGCAAAACCTCATGTCCGGCTCAAGAGGCCAAATCACCAAGTAGAATGCATGACAGTAATCATTAAAATTTCACTTATATCTTCAGTTACAGGTATACCCTTGAGAAATCAAAAGAATCAAATGAAAACCAAGCAAAAATAGAACAGACAGCAAACTGAGGTCATGGGAAATTGGAAGAAGGACATTATAAATAATGAATAATGAGTCTTTTTGTGGGAGTAAAGTTGATTGGTGAATATTATTGTCAGTCTATGCATCAGAACACTTTTTCAATCATTGGTTTTTTGTGTAAGTTATTTTTAATCCAACTGGTATTAACTGGTGGGGAAAATCAGGTGTTATCTAGTATAATTATGTTTCAAGAGGTGCTATGCTAGAGTAACCTGTAATTAAACTATTCAATTAAAATATTTAGCATTTTTCATAATTCAAATTTTGTGTAGGTCAGAGTAGTTACAATGGAGTTGCTGTGTTTGAATGACAGAAACAGAGAATTGGCCAGCAACTGTGAATTCATCCTAGTGAGACAAGTAATAGGGGGCTAATGCTCGAAACGTCAGCTTTTGTAATCGTTACGGTGGCCAATTTATCATTTCAACTTTGTTGATATATCCAAATTATTTCATTACTCCCACCGACGCAGCCCCAAACAGTTTTTTTGCGAAACTATCAGCCTTTAGACAAGTAATAGGTTTTGAAATAATAATGCTTCTCATTGGTATTATTAGTATTTAAATTAGCATGTATTTTTTTAAGAAGGGCATATTTATTCTTATAGTCTTAGTATCATACAAGTCATAGAAGATTACAAGCAGGAGTCATGATCATGAATTAAAAGTAAATTGTGTATAAAAATAAAGGTTTTGTTTATACATTTCTGTGTTTTGATGACTTGCACAGCTTGGAAAGTGGGACAAATCTAAGATACAATGTGCTTGTGAGCATTGTTTTACTGTGCTTACTATAATTATATTATCTTAGTTTATAGAGTATAAGCTATTTTCATAGATCATGTGAATAAATATCCAGGCACAGTATTTGTAGTTTTGAACATTCAAGATTCAATTGACTCTTTTTACCAGGGAATCCAGTCAGAATTATTTTCCTGTATTTCAGTACTCCAAGTTCTTTCATTATGCAAACCTAGAATGAACTAGGCCAATTAAACCAGAAAAACTTCATTGTTAACTTCTGACTGGAATTACATATATCTTGTTGGATGTTTTGTTGTTTAGTATCGCTGATTATATATTTATGAGTTGTGTTGTATTTTAACAAGCCTGTGGGGCAAGTCAAAATACAAATAATGAGTAAAAATACTCAGCAATACAACACACCAAAATGTCTACTAAGTTATTTATTATTCAACATGCCAAACTGTTATTTCAGTGCAGGTGAATTTCGCAGATATTTACTGAGTGTGACAGGAGTATGCGAAGAGGAATGGAATTGCCCTGTTGTCGTGTTGCTGTTTCTATTTCTTTTAATAAATTATGAAATTTCATTGTTGCCTAAGTACTTTTCTTCACTCAATTTATCAAATAAACTTGGATCAACATTTGCCACCCATTCTGACTCTTAGTTGTCAGAAAAATGATTTAAACTGTTTGCCACTTCAATCCCATTCATTGCTTGTGTGATGCAAGAAAACCTGACCAACCGGTTCTCCTGAATACAAATACTGTAATTTTTGTACTTGTTTTGGGCATCATTTTTTCTCTAGGGAGTGTTTTGGTTTCTTCTAGGGTCATTTCTGGTCATATTCTTTTTTGCCCAAATAACAAAATTGCTGTGCCAGCCTGTCATCCTTCTAAAGGGGTATGTTGTTCATTTCAGAGGGTACAATGTATAACAAGCGTAATTATCTTCTTTCTTCTGTAGCATTATGGGTCTCTGAAGACCACCACTCCTCACTGTTCCCTTTACCCTTGTTTCTTGGAATTCTCCAGGGCTCAAAGTATGAAACCAACTTTCCATCCTTAGTGGGAAAGATGCTCTTCATTTTGAGACCAAATTCTTTTGTCTATAACACAAATCACATTAAATTTTGAGAGAGATTCTTTTACAAGAGGTTAGGGGAATTTTTCAACAGGGGAAAGTTTTACACCAGTATCTCACTAGCACAAAGGGCACACATGTTCATTAGGGAACACCCAATTATCACCTCACCCAAGCTTCCTTATCAAGGTCTACTGGATTGGTGAAATTTAGTTTGAAGGTATTCTTAAAACACTGAGGGAAAAAGAATTATCATCGTAGTAGTGGAAAAGGGTCAGAAACTAACTATATCCACATGAAAACAATGAAAAGTGGCAAAAATTGGACACTGATGTATTGGAAACAAGGCATACCAGTGAATTTTTAGCAAATGTAGGAGAACTTTCATCACTTTTTCTTTTACAAAGAGGTGGGTTACATGATCCTCAGGAATCACCCTCCCTAGCTATGCCTTTATTTAATAAACAACCCACACACAAAAACTGAAATGCAATGTTGACATTTACAGGAGATTATGGATGAAAATCAACAGGAGACAAAAAGCAGGGTTCTTGCACTTTTTCAGGAACCCAATTCAATGACTTTCAAGGACTTTTAGGTCATTTTCAAGGACCTTGGCTCTCAAATTCAAGGACCTTTTGCATTAAATAGGAGCTAATAGAAATAAAAAAAAATTGCTCTTTATTCATTTGATAAATTTCAATAACATGAAAGTGCGTGCAGGACCGGCTGAAAAGTCCAACGAGCGTGACTTCAAGCGTGCACATCAGAGTGATCACCTGCTAGGTGACAAAGGTTATTTTCAATGCACCAATCAGGTACAAAATACATAAAAAATCACATGTCAAAGGAAAACTCGTTTTTGCGATTTGTGCTAGAAACTTACACTTTCAACACTGAAAACAAAAGAAACCTTTGACTTTGATTCATCTGTACTTATTTTCAAGGACTTTTCAGAATTTTTCAAGGACCTGAGTCTAAATTCAAGGGTTTTCAAGTTCTTGAAAACAAAAAATTAAATTCAAGGACTTTTAAGGACTCTCAAGGAGCGTGGGAACCCTAAAAAAGGGTTTTTAACCACAGCTGACTCCTGGCTAATAGTCACATCAAAATAAAATATCTGCTGTTTTCTTGCCTATGCGGGGCCATGGTATGTTTTCGTTTAATGACTTGCCTTCAACCAACCAAGGGTAATCAAATAGACCACCTCAAAATAATAATTTTAATGCCTGAGGGTGGTTAGGCCGAAATTTTTCTCTTAATCTAGATATAGGGTGAATCTTGAAAAAAAGCTTTAAATATTTTGAAGAATGAAATGTTAGTATTCAAAATAATTCACTTTCCAGTCAGTCTCTTCAGTGAAATCCTTTCCTAAGTAACCCAGCTTCCTCTTCATGTTGTCAACGACATACACCAAAATCACATGCATGTGTGATGATACGTTATAAACAAGTGAAATTTTCTTTAATGAGTCACGAGAAAGGTCAGTCGTTGCCCACCGAATCACCGCACCTGACAAAAATTACGATATAATAAAACATGACACGAAACAATGACTCCAAGGAAGGGTTGAAAACAGAAAATAAAGTGATGATTATATTTTCAATTGGTAATTTTCTCGTTTACCCGTAGCTAGCTAAGGACATATACCACACGCTCGCCACTAAAAACCTACTTCACAAAAGCGCAAACGAGGTAGTTACACGTTTTCTTACATCTTTGACTCCAAGAGCAGTCTTCACTCCAAATATCAGAAGACCAACCCCACTAACGGCAATAACAGTGCCCCATCCAAGAGCCCTCATGGCTAGTTTCGCCCCTTCTTGTTGACGTTGATCAAAAGAACTTGGACTTCTCCTTCGCGCTTGTCCGATAGCATATCCAAAACCACCAGCCATTGACGCAAAAGTTACACCACTTAACAACAAAGCTCCTGCCAAAACATCAGTTGATTTCACGTTTTGAGATGCATCGTTCTCATGAATTTTCTCGGCATATTCGTCCGCCATTTTGAATGTTACATCGCGGGCTCACGTAAGCATGCGCTCCAAATCCTCGGTGTGGCGCCTGATGCTCGAAGACACTTCGTTCCGCTTGGATATGAAGACAAGCAAATAATGGGTTGTTTCTGGTGGAATTTTACCAGTTGAGCTCCTTCTTTTACTTCGGCACACGGGAACCAGTGCTGGTAATGACTGATTTTGCCCTGCGGAGAAGTTGCGTTTGTCCTCGCCGGTTCTGAACGACAAAAACCTCCATGACTGTAAAGCAATACACACCCATTATGTCAAATCGGAATTGGGAAGTGTTTCCAGGGAGAAACAAGTTTTACTGCGATGGAAGGATCATAATGGCGAGAAATAATGGCGTATTTTATTTTACAGTGGTGCTCATTGTAGTAACAAGTGGACTTTTCTTTGCATTCGAGTAAGTATTGAGCCCAGTCGTTCCTTCACTTTGATCATGAGATCATAACTTGTACATATGTAACGAAAAGTTGGAAATTATATAAACACAACGATTAATCTTCTCGCAAGACAGCGGCTTAACCAAGTCAGCGATCGTTGTTTCAGTTGTATACAATTTTTTCCACCTGCGTATTAAAATAGTATACAAACAAATTTAATTTTCTCAGCTATTTTGCAAAATATTTCCCGAATTCAAGTTATTAAACTTGTTTTGTAATTTGCTTTTTAAAGTAAATAACGCATCCCTGCCTACTTCTTAGCTTTGTTTTTGTTCAAGTATCGCTTAAGATTTTATTCCTTCTTCCGTTAAGGATTTCCCGTATCAAATTGTTTTCTCGTTTGAGTTGTGATGCGTACTTGAAAGTTATAGACTATTCCGGACGTAAGCCTGATCATCTTCATGACATGCATGCGATTTTCTGAGCATAATTTTTAGAACAATAAATAAATCATACTGATTACCCTGTGACCAAACAAAGGTCCACTGAGTTACTTTGTGGCTGCCATAGTTTATTTGAAAAAGATAACTTATGGTCACATCAATTTGTGTAGAAATAATTTTTTATCAGGCGATGGATTTATGAAATACTTAAATTTCTACATTGACAGAGGGCTAACATTGTTACAGCCAAAATTTGCTGGCAACAATTAATTTTAATAGAACCTTTTGCAATCTGCTCATACTTATGGTAGCATTGAATGGCATGTGAACATTTTGTGGTTTTTGATGAATTAGTCCACAGAAACATATTTGCATAGGGTAAAAAGCCTTTTAAAATAAATGAAGGGCAAATTTATCACATGTTTGTTCTGACCTTTGGTCCATTAAAAACTCATGGGAAACATGGAGAGGTATGGGTGCTGTCTGATATTGGTCTTTTTGTGTCAGACCTTATCATGTGTATCCTCTAGGATTTATTCAAATTCTGTGAAATGTCCTTAAGAGGTTAAGTACACTGTTACTAAACAATTTTGAGAGTGGAGGAAATTGCATTTCCTTGTTTGTTAATCTTGTGATGTTCAAAATACATTTTGGTAAAACTGCAAAGAATAGAAAAATCGCCAATTTTCTATGCCACACAACACATGAAAGGGGAATGCCTGCAGCTTATGTAGTGCATAGACTTTGTTGAAGGGGGCTTTATTGGTGGGGAGGTATTCCACATGGGACTTCTTCTATCCAGTAGTACTCTGAGGTGGAAGTCAGAGTTGTGCTTGTGTGTATTAGAGAATGGTAATTTTTTTGTGTGTGTGTGTGTGTGTGTGTGTGTGTGTGTGTGTGTGTGCGTGTGCGCGCTTTAATTTGTAATTGAAACAATTTAAATATTACAGATGCACTCTTTTTAAGATCAAAATGGGAATAGCTCATAAGGATTTTGTAAGAGAACACATTCCAAAAAGGTGATTTTGTTAATCAAGTGATTGTTTGGATAAAGATTTACTTGGATTTGTCAAAAGTACCGGTAAATACATTCATCTACACTATGTTTAGCACTATTGCTATATTTGTGGCTACAGAAGTTTTGAACCAGTTTTTTTCTCCTAGTGAGTAAGATTTGTTAAAAAATAATACAATTACGAAGAAATAAGGGCAGCTCTTGCTTACTTTTGTAATTCTCATTTACACAGATGAATGAAGTATTTTTTCTGTGTAATGTGTAATGTACAGATAGATCTGAATATGTTAAATATTTAAAAATGTTTTTTTTGTAATATTTTCATTTAATTTCTATATAGACCACTTTCATAAATGGCTGCTGAATTAATATTCTTTTGTTTAAATTTAAATTAGCCCATCTGGCCTCGTTCTCCAGTAGAAAATTCAAAAGCTAGAATACATTTTCTCAAGCAAGGCTAGAAGGGCTAATTTAAATTTAAACAAAAGAATATTAATTCGGCAGCCATTTATGAAAGTGGTCTATACAATGATTCAATACATTTTACAGATGTTTGGATCTCAAACTTATTTCAATTTTAAGTCCAGATTTGGTACTTTGTTTTTGGAAAGAAACTATTAACTTAAAGCAGTTTCAGGTATATACATGTAGGCCTGCATAGTTTCTTTAGGAGTAACAGTTCCCTTTCTCATTGTAAATACTGTCTTATCTGAGTAAGTTTTATGTCAGAAAATTATTTTAGGGTCTGTGAATTCTGCTCTTTCCTGCTTTTTGTCACCTTGCCAGTTCAGCTATTTTCACAACAGTTTATTTCAACACTTAATAATGCTAATTACTTAGGACTCAAAGTTTTTCACTTCCCAGATCTTATGGCAACTCTTTTACTGTCAGTCACATATTTTCTGCAGTATGATATCACGGGTGTTAAATGAAATAACATTCCTCTGCTGATATTTTTCTTTCTTCTCATCAACTATCAACTTGATACTCTATCAATAATGTTATGAGAAATTATGTCTTGGTCACTTCTGGGATTGTAAGGGTTAGTAAAATAATGTTTTCTGTCAATAGTTGGCAGCATGGTTTGTCAGTTCAATTTACAGAAGTCAGTCTGTAGAGTTGAATAGAATTGAATTAATTTTTATGAATCTTCCTTTCTTGTTTTCTTTTGCAGTTCTCCCTACTTGTATGAGAAAGTTTCCCCAGCAGTCCCATTAATTGGAGCATGGTTATTTATATTTGTCATGTCAACATTACTTCGCACAGCTTTCAGTGATCCTGGTATAGTACCTCGAGCGTCAGCTGAAGAGGCAGCTTATATTGAAAAAACATTAGGTGAGAAAAGAAGCATAGTCAGTATAGTACTATTATACTGAGTAGAGTCAGCATGAGTCACAATTAGCCAAAGTTTCGAGAAAGAGAAAGGTATCAGGATACTTCCATTTACTCTTGTTTAGTTTTTCATCTTGTGTGCTGGGTAACCTAGTTTTCCTGGTTAGTAGAACAAATTTTGCTATCTTGGAATCATTTTGGAATCTTTTGTCATGCTGTGTTGATGAGATTTCCACCTGGGTGTTGTTATCAGAAACTTCAGCTCAGTTACATGTACCCAGATAAAGACTCAGTCTTTCCTTTTTCATTTGAGTTACAAGACTAGGATGCTTTTAAAGAAAAAAATCCAGATCAGGTACTGAGATCTTGTTCAGAAAAGTATGTAACATCTCAGATTTGGGATGATTTCAAGTCATTTTGGCTTAACATGGCTGGAATCTTATTGCAACCAGTCTGACTTAGTTTTCCCTGTCCTTTCTTCCTCCAGAAACTCCTAATCAAGATTCACAAACATATAGACCTCCTCCCAGAGTAAAGGAGATCTCAATAAATGGACAAACTGTTAAACTTAAATTTTGTTTTACCTGCAAGATATTCAGACCTCCTCGAGCTTCTCATTGCAGTATGTGTGACAACTGTGTGGGTGAGTAGACAAAAAACGAGTGGAGGTTTTATTAGTAATTTGAATATATCAACAGAAGTTGAAATGGTAAACTGGCTACCGTTACGATTATAAAAGCTGACATTTCGAGCGTTAGCCCTTCGTC